GCTGCTCACACCTGGGGCTTCCCTGAGCCCTCATTATCCTCACAGCTCAGTTTGTGCTGTTGCCACCCCAAGAGCCAGGGCAGGGGCAGAATTAACTTGTTGCTCATTCCCTGCACCTGACACACTGGGGCACCAGGCTTTCCTTGCTATGGCTGAGGACACCTCTCCCCCTCCAGGTGCCCAAGGCTGAAAATAGAATTCCACCTCCACAATTCCATGTGTTTGAGTTTCATAATTCCCAGTGTAATTCCCCATGGATCATAAGCCATCACCTCCAATTTTTCCTCTAGAATCACTGCTGACTTGCCTTTCTGTGGAAGTGTTTGACACATCAATGCAGAGTTCAGGGGCTTGTTTATGGCTTATCCTGACGAGCACAAATGAAATCCAAACACCCAGAATTACAGGGAAATATGGATAGAGTTTATAAATACTCCTCTTTCCTGCAACTCCCTGGCAACCTCCCATTGACCTTTTACTCTTAACCTCTGAATTTTGACCTTTGACTCTTGACTTCTGCTCTTTGAAGTTTGATTCCCTGATAATTGACCTTGAACCACATAACCTTGGAAAATTAACCCGTAACATTGGACCTTGGACCCTTTACTCTTGATCTTTGAACCCTGACCATTCACACGTGACCCTTGAACTTTGAATCCCTGACTTTTCACTTTAACCACTGACCCCTGATCTCTGAGCTTTTGCCCTTAACCTCAGCCCTTTGACCCTGCCCCAACATCAATATCACTGACCTACAGTGATTTCAGCATATGAATGCTACCATAGTTATCTCACCCAGCCGTGTCAATCCCAGGACCCTCGGAACAGATCCGGCACCTTCTGGAAGGTGCTCAGGACCCTCAGGACACATCCTGCACCCTCGGGAAGGTGCTCAGGACCCACAGGGAGATCTAGAACCTCAGCACCGCTCAGCACCCTGCAGGATAGTCTAGAACCCCACCGAGTGATCTAGAACCTCAGCACCAGGCAGGATAGTCTAGAACCCCGCGGGATGCATCCAGAACCTTCTGGAAGGCGCTCAGCACCCTCGGGACAGATCCGGGACCTTCTGGAAGGCGCTCAGCACCCTCGGGACAGATCCGGGAACTTCTGGAAGGCGCTCAGCACCCTCGGGACGGATCCTCTCTCTTGCAGTGCCTCCCTCTCGTGGGGACCTCGGCGAGCCCCAAGGGACACGGGAGCCCCCCAGTCTCCACCCCGTCCCCCTCAGCCTTTGCTCCTCACCCCCAAAGAAGGCAGAGAACAACTCCAACTGCCCTGAACAGCAGCACCTTGCTTTATTGGAAGCCCTTCTAGGTCTAGACCCCCTGCCAAAAAGGAGCTCTGCTGCAACAAGAAAAGGGGGGCAGGTCCCAGAAATCCCTCCCTGAATTTTGACCCCTGACCTTTGACCCCCAGGACTGGGGTGGTTTGATCCTAAACTTTGGGGATTTGGGGTTTTTGATACCCCAGGGTTCGGGGATTGGGGTTTTTGAGCTCAGCGTTTGGGGATTTGGGGAGGTTAACCCCAAACTTTGGAATCAGGGCATTTGGACACCCCAGATGTTTCAAATCCCCTGTTCCCTCCCGAACCTTGATCAAAACCCAATCCCTGGGGTTTGGAATGTTCAGGGTGTCCGACGACCCTGATCCTGAACTTAGGGGTTAAATCTCCCAAATCCTCAAATTCTGGGGTCAAAATACCCCAGTTCCTAAACTTTGGGGTCAAAACCCCCTCAAATCCTGGGGTCAAATCCCCCTGATCCTGAAGTTTGAGAGTTTGAGTCAACACCTCCCCACCCCCCAATCCCAAATTCTGGGGTCAAATTCCCCTGATCCCAAACTTCGGGGTTAAACTCCCCAAATCCCGGGGTCAAATCCCCCTGATCCCAAACTTTGGGCTTAAACCCCCCAAATCCTGGGGTCCCCCCCCCCCCCCCCCCCC